CCATGTTCATCCATATAAAATTTATATGAGAACACATCACATAGACAACAGTGAGCAACAAAATAGGTATGGTATGGGCATGGCATGCCAATTTTTGAGGATTTAGGTACGCCTAACTTTTCAATGTCAAATGATGGAATTTTTATATTATATATTGATTCGGTTAAGTTTAAAAAATTAAATTCAATTTGTCCTCCCTTGTAATAAATTATATCATACTTTTTATATAAATTAAATAAAATTTCATATACTTTACTATGACATTCCCAATATCCAAAATTATGTTTTTAATAAGATAAATACAGCCGTGTAAGAAATTTCCAAATTTAATAAATTTCTTTTTATCTCGTGGTGATAAATTATCAAAAGTAATAAATTGATTATAAAAATCTATCTTCCCAAAATTGTTTTTAGGTCTTGCTGCAAACCCAATTTGTCTACATAATGTGTTGAATGAAAGATTTTCATCTTGAATCGTGAAAGCTTCAAAGTCAATGATAACTCCTATATCGCGTGTAGGTCATATTTACTGTTTTCTTTTATATCTATACTTGATTGATATATTTTTTAAAAAAATTTACAATATATAGTTTTTTATATGTTTCTATTTAATTGATATATTTTGATATAAATTAGATTTTCTACACTCAAAAATACTCAAATGGTAAGTGTTAAAGTTATATTTTATTAAAATTAATACTGTGTATTATAATATAGTTTCTGATATAGGAGTTATCATTGATTGACTGCACCTCCTCTATAATTAATACAGCACTAGTGTTACAGTGTTACAAGATATTTTATGAGAACTAAAATCAAATAAATTAAAAAGTTTTCTAAATATTAATAATCTCAATTTATCTGAGAGATTTTTGATCTGAAATTATTGTATCTAAAATGAATATTGTTTCAAGATATTTTATAAAAAGTAAAAAAATGAAATGAATTGTAAAGTTATCTAAATATGAAAACTAAAACATATGAGAATAAAATTACACATAATTTTAATTTACCCAAGAAATTTTTGATCTGAAAATAATTTATAACTAAAAATTAATTTGAAAATTATACACCACAAATTATTTGTAATTTTGATTAAATTGACATCTGAGATTAATTTTGTGATGAAGATTTCTATTGAAAAATTAATTTACTTAAAATTTGATTGGAATAAAGTCACTGAATTTCAAAATCTTTCAAATAATGTTAATAAGCAATACACACATAAGTTTGATATAAAAAGAATTTAAAATTACCAACGATTAAAACTACGACTTTAAGCGTATTAAAAGCTTATCTAAATTAGATTTATGTTTCTCGTTACCAAATATTTGGCGAGCAATTTATTGTTAAAATAAAATGAATTTAACTCAAATTTATAATTAATACAAAAAGTTTGACTTATTGTTAAAATAAAATAAATTTAATTTAAATTTATAAAAACATTTAATAATTAATACAGCCTTATTGTTAAAAAACGAAATTAAGATTTGTGATCTGAAATAATTCTATTCAACAAATTTTTATTTGTAATTTTAATTTATTCGATAGTAATTTACTCAAAAAATTAATTTTGTGATCTGAAATAATTCCATTCAACAAATTTTTATTTGCAATTTTAATTTAATCGACATCTGAAATTAATTTTGCAATCAGTATGGCCCAAACCACTACTACTAGTGTTATCCACTTATCCACTCATAAGCCAAAATAACTTTTGCTTCGATTCAAATTTTAACAAATGTTGCTAATTATTTCATCACTTTAACATATATAGATTTTAAAAAGCCAGTGACGATCACAACATTCTACGTGAAAATATTTTTAATTGATATTATGCTTACGTCCTCTTTGCACATTTTTGTGTACTGAAGGAGTTTTAATTCACCAAAATTTCAAAAGTAGACACAAGCATAATATATAACTACGTACGAAAAAAAACAATATATTAACCTTCTAATTAATGATTCTTGCTGTTATTATTGTTAATTTATTGATTTTAAAATTGTCGAGTTAAACAAATCGTAAAAAGCATTATTTTTATTGTAGAACTTGTATTAAATTTGATGCCATGTCTTACTTTTTTCCACGCAGCTGTGACACTATCCATTCGTATCTCGTATTCGGTTGAATTTTCTCTTTCTCTTACAGTATTGTCTGCATCGTTCTCTCTTTCTTGAAGGAGGAGAAAATCCTAAATCAAAATTTTGAAAATGTTAGAGTTTTAAATGATGTTTTCGACTTCTCCAAAATTGAAAAACTCCAGAAATTTTTTAAACAGCTTATTTATTTATAAAACTTAAGTGTCTAAGTAGATTTTCAATTTTTTTAAGATAGAACTTTTTGCTTTATGTTGGTAAAACATGTGCTGAATTATTGTGTATTACGAGTTCTTGTACATTAGTCAAATGAGTTATTAAAACAGAGAACAAGCCAAATAACAAAAAACACAATTTTTTTCTTTTGGAACTGCTGAAGAGTATTAATAATATCAGGCTATTATTATGAAGAATATGGGATTGAAGTCAAGCAAGCCAATATCCGATAATTCATTTATAAAATAACATATTGAAAAAACACATCAAATATGATTTAGGGGCCAAGTCCATAGCGACCGGAAGGTCGCTATGGACTTGGCCAAACACGTATAGGCGTAAAAAGCGCATTTAAAAACCCATNTAATTTACCCAAGAAATTTTTGATCTGAAAATAATTTATAACTAAAAATTAATTTGAAAATTATACACCACAAATTATTTGTAATTTTGATTAAATTGACATCTGAGATTAATTTTGTGATGAAGATTTCTATTGAAAAATTAATTTACTTAAAATTTGATTGGAATAAAGTCACTGAATTTCAAAATCTTTCAAATAATGTTAATAAGCAATACACACATAAGTTTGATATAAAAAGAATTTAAAATTACCAACGATTAAAACTACGACTTTAAGCGTATTAAAAGCTTATCTAAATTAGATTTATGTTTCTCGTTACCAAATATTTGGCGAGCAATTTATTGTTAAAATAAAATGAATTTAACTCAAATTTATAATTAATACAAAAAGTTTGACTTATTGTTAAAATAAAATAAATTTAATTTAAATTTATAAAAACATTTAATAATTAATACAGCCTTATTGTTAAAAAACGAAATTAAGATTTGTGATCTGAAATAATTCTATTCAACAAATTTTTATTTGTAATTTTAATTTATTCGATAGTAATTTACTCAAAAAATTAATTTTGTGATCTGAAATAATTCCATTCAACAAATTTTTATTTGCAATTTTAATTTAATCGACATCTGAAATTAATTTTGCAATCAGTATGGCCCAAACCACTACTACTAGTGTTATCCACTTATCCACTCATAAGCCAAAATAACTTTTGCTTCGATTCAAATTTTAACAAATGTTGCTAATTATTTCATCACTTTAACATATATAGATTTTAAAAAGCCAGTGACGATCACAACATTCTACGTGAAAATATTTTTAATTGATATTATGCTTACGTCCTCTTTGCACATTTTTGTGTACTGAAGGAGTTTTAATTCACCAAAATTTCAAAAGTAGACACAAGCATAATATATAACTACGTACGAAAAAAAACAATATATTAACCTTCTAATTAATGATTCTTGCTGTTATTATTGTTAATTTATCGATTTTAAAATTGTCGAGTTAAACAAATCGTAAAAAGCATTATTTTTATTGTAGAACATGTATTAAATTTGATGCCATGTCTTACTTTTTTCCACGCAGCTGTGACACTATCCATTCGTATCTCGTATTCGGTTGAATTTTCTCTTTCTCTTACAGTATTGTCTGCATCGTTCTCTCTTTCTTGAAGGAGGAGAAAATCCTAAATCAAAATTTTGAAAATGTTAGAGTTTTAAATGATGTTTTCGACTTCTCCAAAATTGAAAAACTCCAGAAATTTTTTAAACAGCTTATTTATTTATAAAACTTAAGTGTCTAAGTAGATTTTCAATTTTTTTAAGATAGAACTTTTTGCTTTATGTTGGTAAAACATGTGCTGAATTATTGTGTATTACGAGTTCTTGTACATTAGTCAAATGAGTTATTAAAACAGAGAACAAGCCAAATAACAAAAAACACAATTTTTTTCTTTTGGAACTGCTGAAGAGTATTAATAATATCAGGCTATTATTATGAAGAATATGGGATTGAAGTCAAGCAAGCCAATATCCGATAATTCATTTATAAAATAACATATTGAAAAAACACATCAAATATGATTTAGGGGCCAAGTCCATAGCGACCTTCCGGTCGCTATGGACTTGGCCAAACACGTATAGGCATAAAAAGCGCATTTAAAAACCCATACAGGAAACAGAGTTTAAGAAAATACAAAAACATAAAACAGAGAATCTGTCATCATTTAAAAACTTCTAATAGCCTTACAGCGATAGAGATAAACGTATTCTGATAGTATTTCTTAAAATAATTTTAGTCAACTTGCTTTCAATTACTGGGTGCTACTCTGTTACTGTAAGAGTTTCTGTACACAAAGAAAGCTGGCATCGCTGTGCTATATTATTCTTATTATATTTAATGAATTTCACTCGTTGCTTATTTACGAGAATTGTTTCCAGAAACTTTATCAAATCTTGAATTTTCTCCATTCTAAAATAAATTTAACTATATTTTTTGTTTTTTTTTAAATTAATCTCAGCAAACAATAACACTGTAAAAAATTAGTACCGTTTGTCCATCATCATGTTACATTTGTTAATCTTAAATGATTCAAACTCGTTCACAGAATACATGGTAAAGTTGGTAGATAAAAACGATTTCATATACAAGTGGAATCTTTTACAGTTTTGCATTGAAAAGATTTAGGGTTTGTTGTAAAATTTAACACAGAATATTGTCTATTCAGTAACTTTTCTCTTCTAGGCAGGTTTTCAATTTATTTAGATTCCGTCATGGATAAGTTTTAATATTTGATATCTTTATATACAACAATATTAATAATTATATGTTGATATCTTCCAATTGTTTCTGAATTAGTATTGCTGTAATAACATATGAAAAGAATGATTCAAAAATTGTTCATTACCTGTATTCTTTTTAACGAAACCAAAATTTCTGCAACAAATCCTACTGCTTGAGAAAACAGAGCAACAATGTCGTTGTAGATATACATTGAAACTGTCATTGTGACGAATATAATTTCGGCATTTAATTGTCCTCCATTTAAAAAGAATGCCAGATATGCGAGGAGAATGAATAATTTCGATATAGGATACGCCAATATATACGATATTCCACTTGCGTATAAAAACTTTCGAATTTTTTTCATTTCTTTCCTGCAAATAGAAACAATTAAATAATACTAATTGCGGAGCTCCGAAATAATTATCTAAAACACATCAGCGTATCGAAATTACAATAAAACCAGTGTAAACGGGCATCCTATGGTGTCAAATATTTTATAAAGTATGTGATGTTTATGCTCTGAACATGGTTTACTTTTTAAAACAAAAATACGTTTTTGAGAAGATTTTATTATTTTCTGTTTAAGCAGTTACTCGTTTTATTTTGGTTCCATTTTAAACAGGTTTTACTGTATTTCATTGCACTTACACTCTGATTTTTTCTATTAATGCGGCATATGGCAATTCCCAGGTGTACATCTTTATTAACCTCATATCAGCAATCATCTCGTTCAACAGATTCAATCTTTCGTCTCCCAATACAGCTGCTTGTAATCTAGTATGGAATTATATATATAATATTATAAAATGATATAAAATTAAATAGTGGACATATATTTTATATCTAAAGACAATGTTACATTTAACTGAAGCCCTTTATTTTTCTAGCACTGAATGTTATAAGAGTTTTGTTGTATGCTATTTTAACAACTTTTTATACTAAACTCCCCTGAAAAAAAGCAAACATGAAATGCAAATTCTCAGATAAAGCGTGAATGTGTAAGCTTTATTAAATGAATTTTTTGTATAATTTCAGTGTGATCAGCAAATATCCAAACATGAGTACAGTACACATTGATTCTATTCGAAATATACAAATCAAATTATACGTAGAAATAAATGTTTTATACTGTGCTTTCATAATTCATTTACGAACATGACAGTAAAATACCAAAATATCCAGTTTGTTTGCTATGTACCAAAGAAGCCATTTCTATGATGGTCAAAGATGGTTGGCAAGCCTTGGGTAGGCTAGAATTTGATCAAGCTATTAAAAAACCACAATTTTTGAGTTAGTCGTTCTGTAGTTTCATCCGTGTACCCAATTCCAAATTACTAGAATAGTAATCAAAAGGCCCGGCCGGCTTGAGCCGTGCTTGAGTTAGAACATCTTCCGATTAGTGCTGCAATCAATATTATCAGTAAGTTGCAATAGGGAGGCAACACACCCGTATTACCTGCAAGCCTGGTTGCATCTACAGAGAGGCCTAAAACTGTGACTACGGTAAGGAGAGATTGCCTGCACATGATTTTTATGCGCGAAGGCCAAATATTTCGGTTTCATTGTTTTCAGGCAGAGAGAAGCCGTTTACACATCCTCCAGGAACCAGTCACTTCGAGTATGCACGAGTGGAAAATGGCAAATTATGACTCATTTGTTCTGTTGAACAAATGAGTCGTCATTTGCTTTACAGTCATCAACAAACTTATATGTGAAATCCGATAACTCAGGGAATCACTCGATGAACATTGTTCAGTGTCATTATTTTTCTGTTGTTTGCGTCCTTATGTGGGGTGCGATTTCCTTAGATGGATGTATTGATCTCTATGTTTTCCGCTGTGGCACTGCGATGAGCCGTAGTTATCGGAATGAAATCCTTTACCCCTTTGTTGGACCTCATGTAGATGCAATTGGTTCTGAATTCGTTCTTATAAACAACAACGTTGGGCCATACAAAACTCGTACACTAACTTACGCGATTATCTAATAACAGAGAATTCATCCAATGAAGTGAATAACGAATTTTCCAGTTTTTTATCTTATATATCATATATAAAATGGACCCAAAAGAGCATCGGCTTTCCACCAAATCTTAACAAATATTCCTCGTTTGCAAATATAATTTGTTATTTTGACCAATGTTTTATTTTCTAGAATGTCATACTGTACATTCAAAACACATATAGATTGTCACAAACAGAACTGGATTAATTTTTCAGACCTTTTCCAGGGTTGCACACCGTACATGGGGGTTATTATATGCGGCAATGGACACTATCTATAATCAGATATTCATTCCTATTCTTACTTATGCTTGCGATAGCTGGAGATGGGCATCGCATAAGAACCACCCCAATAGGAAACTAATTTCTTCTCAGAGGAAAGCAACAATCCTTCTAACAAAACCATGTAAAACAGCCTCTAGCTCAGCACTGCAAATCATTGCTAAAATACCCCCCAATCGACTTACATATTGAATACTATAGTCAAATTGGTAATTTAAAATGGGGAGATGATATAAACATTAATAACTGCATAATTACTGCTACAGAAATTGAACGACCGACACCTATTTCTTTGAGCATAGACCCAAGTACACCACCGATACAATTTTCTGATAACATCCAGGAAGATGACATTGTCATATATACTGATGGATCCAAAAGTGATTACAATGTTGGTTGCGCTTTTGTGACATATTATAACAATGATGAAATTTACTCACAACAGTATCCGTTAAGTAAATTATCCTCAATCTTTCAAGCAGAAATGTTTGCCATTCAACAAGCGCTACATTGGTCTAACCAAGTATATTCCTTTCAAAATATCACAATCTGTAGTGACAGTGCCTCCTCCTTAGACACTATAAAAGGCAACAAAACTCATCCACTCTCGAGTAATATTAAAAATCTTGTCATCAACTCTAATAACATCTATAAATAAATATGGGTCAAGGCACATCAAGGAAATGAAGGCAATGAGAAAGCTGATGCCTTAGCCAAACAGGCTTCTATGGATTCAAATATGACAATATCATACGACAAAAATTAGCCTGCAAGCTGTAAAACACCTACTATGGTCTGATTTACTAAATAAATGGCAGCAAAAATGAGATAACTATAATGATAAAATCACCTATAAATTTTTCCCTAACATTAGAAATTTTTTTATATACACATGGCTTAAACCAAATTACTGGACTACTCAATTTTATACTAATCACGGAAAATTTGCCAGCTATCTCTACAGATTTATTGACTCCACTAATAACTTATGCTCTAACTGTGGCATTGAGGATGGCAGTGAACATTACATTTACGATTGCATTATGTTAGAGAGAGAACGATGTCATCTCAAGTGTATCCTTGATGCACGAGGAATCTCCTGGCCGTGCACATTACATGATCTTATCAATAGTAAAGAATCCTTCTGCTGCTTATGTAATCTTATTAATAGTTACAGTAAAGTTACAAACATACGCACCTAAATAGCTATCCTTATCTCTCAACATTAGATGTAAATACTAAACAGCTTTACTGATATAACCCCCATCAGCCTATATATCTTAATCCATATAAATCTAACATAATGGATTTTGTTATTATACAACTGGTGAACCTTATAGAATCCTCATTTTATTATAATGCCAGTACGCATAATCGTGTCGCCAGCTTCTATAAGGAGCGATGCTTTTCACTCTTCAAGATTTACGAAGTTAATTGTGAGTTAGAATATACGAACTGTTACTTCTAGTGAATAAACTGCAATAGTGTGCTGACTTGGTTCTTGGACAGCTGCAATGAACTATTAATATTTGTGTTACGTCAGAGTGTTAAATTGTGCAAGAGACAACAGTTGTTTTTCAGAAACCATCATTTTAAGCGTATTGATAAAATATAAACATTATCTCTGGATATTAACTAAGATGAATATTGCCACAAATATTAGCCATTCTTGCCTCCATCTGTAAAAACATCACCAAGAAATGCTGACTCTACATAAGAAAGCTTGAAAATAAACATTTATTCATAAGTGTCGTTGGAATATGAATCTTTCAAGTACTTCTATGTTTGTAGAAACTTCCATTTTAGTGTATGGACATTGCGCTGCCAGTATCATGTGTGACTCCTTACAGTTGCTGCTTACAGTCATTACATGTAGAAAGAGTTCTTTAACTCTTTCTACATGTAATGACTGTAAGCAGCAACTACACCCGAAGACCTGCAAAGTGAATTTTATAGTTATTTTAATGTTAATTTTCCTAAGCTTTATTTCGTTTAGACTACAATATTATATAAATCATCATATATATATCCTCAAACATATATCATCATATATATTTGTATGTGAAACTTATATTAATATCTACCGCAACAATATATATCATATTTTACATATTTCTGTTAATTGACTATTATTTATTTTGTTTAGTTTTAAGTTATCAATCTATTTTATTATTTATAATGCAGATACAGTCGACCCCCGTATAAGATCATTGATTATTCCGTTTTATATGAATTCCATGTTGTACAAGTCACTTAAATTTTACAAATACGTGAGCTGTTCACAGCCCGGTACACGTATTTGTGAAATCTAAGTGACTCGTACAACATGGAATTCATATAAAACGGAATAATCAATGATCTTATACGGGGGTCGACTGTATTCAATGTCATCTGTCATACATGTAAATGTTACAGTAATAATTTACAGTATATGTCTCATGTAAATACATTGATGTACATTACTTTATATTCCTGCGTTCAATCTTAAACATGTATAAACTGGTTATGCTATTGCGGTATCAGTGATGCAATATTGTTGCATGATTAAAGANTTGTTTGTACAAAATAAAAAAATAATTTTTAACGATACAATAGTCTTTGTTAGGCTTAACATCGACGAAAATTCAACGCGAAGCGACACGCAACGGATAAAAATTTTAACATCGGATACGTTAAACTATTTTTTCGTACATAAATCGGTTATCCGAAAAATCAGTTATACGAACAACCCCCGTCTTCAATTGATTCGGAAAATTGACGCTCTACTGTATTTTCTTTAAATTTTGTATAATCTATTTTTTAATAGATGTAGACTTAGCTATATGTTTTTGGTATTATTTTCATTTACTTTTATAATATTTATAGACAAAACCAGTCTGACTATAATTTTATCTTTACATTTTGTATAAATCTAAAAATTGGTACTGTCTGATGGTAAGTCAGGGGTAAAGAAATGTAGTTTTTCACTCTTGTTCAACCTCAGATCCGGAAGATCTGTCCACAAGGACACTACGATAAGTTTTTTAGCATTATTTAAATTTGGGAATCAAAAGTTCTTAGGATCGTCTTGTTCATTTTTCCTGACCCCAGCCTAATTTGTGAGTTATGCTGACCCCAGCCTAATTTGTTTTATTATTTATAATGCAGATATTCAATGTCATCTGTCATACATGTAAATGTTACAGTAATAATTTACAGTATATGTCTCATGTAAATACATTTATGTACATTACTTTATATTCCTGCGTTCAATCTTAAACATGTATAAACTGGTTATGCTATTGCGGTATCAGTGATGCAATATTGTTGCATGATTAAAGAGATTGTGTGTGTGTGTGTGTGTGTGTGTGTACATTCAAAGCCTTATTTTGGTGTGCTAATAACTGGCAGGGTTTACGTTGGCCTTTAAGTTGAGGCATATGGAGCACATGCCTCCTTCTCTCGTTGAGTTGGCCTTTTCCAAATCTAAAAACAGCCATAAAGTTTCATTATTAACAAATAGAATATATTCATGACTTTTAGCAAGCTTATTTTACAAATAAAAAAAAACTAATGAACGCTATTTTTCTATTGTCTCATGAAAACTGTCCATTGTTTTGAAACTACATTTCATGTTTTCAAGGTAAAGCTAACTCCTAGTGCAACCAGCAACATCTTCTATCATAAATATTGAAGCTCTTTGCATAATGTACGATGGCTTTTTTATAGTTTGTATTATCATCTTTGATAGTGTGCCGATGCCGTTGGCAGAGTCTTATTCTGTTCCTGTAAAATTAAAAATAAATTGCTGCAGTAGTTTCTGATTTGTATCCTATTTTGAATTTTGTGCTAATTTTTTGTAGGAAAAAATATTTTACATATGAAAGATTATTTTACGTGTTTTAATTTAATGCAGGTTAATGCAATATACTGTAAATGTTTTCATAATTTGTAAGAATTTATTTACTTCATGCTAAATGTAAACATTTTTGAACAAATCAAGAAAATATGTCATTAATACAATATAGTATTGATCCCGGACCAGAAAAATAGAGTAAAAGAAGCATTTTACAAACCAAAGCCAGCAACAACACAGAAAAATAAAATTAATAATATATGAAAAAAGACAAGTGTTATATACAGATTTAATTGTAGATGTGAAGATCCATCTACTAACATGAAGATACAGTAATTATATGAAAGAATCAAGGGACGTGTTAAATCAATAAAACATGATTACAAGAATTCTAATGTATCTAAACATTCTGTGAAGAACGGTTGTCAGATTAATTTTAATACATTTAGTATAGTTCAATTACAGGGGGTACGATGAACAGAAAGTTATACGAATACTTAGAAATAAAAAAATGTTATTATTAATAAATGAAAATGACAGAGGACCTACCTTTTGATTTGTTCTTAGATGTTTTTTAATCAGTTTGATGATAATATAATATATGATAATATCACGTTAAGAAAAAATAGAAATCCTACAAGAACGTTAATTAACACATTGTTGAACCAAATGGACATTCGTGATGATTCATGTGCATATAATATTTATTTTCCAAACATACTTTATGTATAATTTCATACAAATTACGCCCATTCCAAAAATAAAAAGCGTGTTACTAAATATAGTTTTCCATCTATACAAGCAACTATTTTAATGTTTGGTTGTTTTAATCTTCTGGTCTTTCTAATAGTAATATTGCCACAATGGGTTCGGTCAGGCCCATAATGGCTTGTCTGCATATGCTGACCCTCATCTATTATATATCAATAACATTTGTGTATCATCAGAAATTCTTGGGTAGCTCGAATAAATTCCAATCCTAGCATCTCAATTTTGATAATACGTTGGTCATCTTACCATTTTATAATACCAGCTAATGAAGCATAGATATCGATTAAGTATATAACATTTTATGTGTTAAATACAGCAATTTCATTTTTTTTAAACATTATTAAATAATTAATGATGATTTCTTTATTTTTTACAGATAGTTTACAATTATGCAATTTAAAATAATAATTACCTCAATTTAGAATATAGTTTACTCAAAGCAAGTTGTATAGGAAAATAAAGAAATATGACTAAGAATCCAATTAGAATAGTCCATCCATAATATTTCCACAACATGGCTATTGAAGTAATGATGAAAAAAGGCGACGTAAATAAAAGTGATAGGGAAATAACTTTCTGTAAGAAATAGAAATGTTATATAGGCTATACCTAATAACTATTCATTTGATAAAAATTAATATAAATTTCAATATAATTATTTTTGAATTTATAAAATACCTACCTATATCATGAATGTATTAAACATTCACGTACTACTTTTGTTTTTACACAACATGGCTATCGAAGTAATGATGAAAAAAGGCGATGTAAATAAAAGTGATAGGGAGATAACTTTCTGTAATAAATAGAAATGTTATATAGGCTATACCTAATAACTATTCATTTGATAAAAATTAATATAAATTTTAATATAATTATTTTTGAAATCATAAATTAGCCTATATAATAAACCTATTAAGCATGCATGTACTACTTTTGTTTTTACAGTACAAGATCTTTATTGTCGCAGTACCAGAGTGTCGAAGATTATTGAAAATGGCATTTTACTGTATTTGTGTATTTTCCAAAAATTCTTTAGTTATATGTGTTCTCAATGTGGCAGATGGTATATTTTGTATGTTAGCATTTTATTGCATTTTTGAATCGATTATCTCCACTGCTTTATCGCTGTAAAGATTACAGACAGCATGTCAATATAGATTCAAAATATGATTGAAAACCTTGTAAAACTTAAAGGAATATGTTATTGCAGAGAATCCATATTCTCCAATACATGACATTCATATTTCAGGCATACAGTACATACTGAACTGTCCCACACATTTTTATGTACTCGCTAAGAGTTACAAATGGATACAAATGGACCTTTTACAAATAGATATAATTTCAGAAATGATGTCATTGCGAAAAATTGCCCCGTTACAAAGGCAATGTTTTGACAATAAATTTCATTTAGATAATAGCGTATGTCTGTAGACCAGGGATTCTCTCAGTAATATTGATGACAAAATTTTTTGTCATCGATATTACTGAAGATACATTAAAGCGACATTTTGTCTGAAATGTTTTTGTCGAAATTATATAATATATCGGCGAAACATATGGGTTCACGTGGTATACATTAATTAATCAAACATGTTGTTTAGAAAATTGTCTTTAACTTACATTTAAGAATTTTCCGACGTCGTTTGCTAGAAGATTTACCATTTGTCCAACATTCGACCTTTCCATAGATGAAGGACTTAACTTAATTGCCTGCAAATGGAAGTTTTACATAGAATGAATATTTTTAGAAAATTATATCATCATTAAAAAAATACGAGAATAATATTTCGTAAAGTTCTCAGACAAACTAATTGATTAAATTTTCTAACAATATAGACATGTCTAAGTTATAAATCATCATCAACTTCCTTTGATATTCTGCAGTTAAACTCTTTCGAGTTTATTTTATATGCCTAATAACAATACTCAGCATATGATAATCCGTATACTCTTTCAATAATAATTAGTAATTAAATAAAAAATTTCCATGACCTCACCGAGGGCCATTACTTTGGAAGTGTTGTCAGCAGCTGAACAGGGTCTATTAACCAAACTGCATCCCACAAAGTGAGAATCCTATGTGAATGATTTCGTTATACATTTAAGATATTATCCTGTGAGATAAATACTAATTTTAACAAATTGTGCAATTTATAAGTACTACGATTCATTCACTTCGATCACATCCATTTTCTAACATTGTATAAAATGTATTTATTATTTCAAATATTTATTGTCATTAGGTTATCAGTACATTGAAATGCAGCATTCGACCGAGTCTTGATAATCGATGCGGCTTTAAGAAGTGTCATACTACAACTGTTCATTTTTGTGAAGGTGACTCATTTGAAAAAATTTCTTAATCGAACAGAAGTCACATAAAATGCTGTACATATTACCAAGATAAACTAGGCGTAGCTGTAAATATAAGTTTAATAAAGAATTTTCAAGACATATGTATAGTTAACTCTTTCCTCTCTGTGGGCACTAAGAAAGTCCCTTTTAGCAAGCTCATTATGGGTTTGGCCAGACCCACAATGGGGTGGCTGGATAGTGAGGGACGGAAGCCCGACATATCCAGATGGACCACTTCCGAATAATTTTTGGGGATAACAGCATACATGATAACATGAACAATCAGGGATATCTTCAATTAAAAATTGAATTATGACTATTTACATAAGTTTTTTAATCTTTCGAGTGTATCTTTCATTCTTTTAACACACCACCGAAGTAACTGTATTTGCTTGGATGAACTTCCACAGAACACGTGATGAATTATAACGAAACACACACAAAGTTAAAAATGATCGAAACGCCGATCTTTTATTCTGTGTTCTGTGGAAGTTCATCCAATCCAATATACAGTTACTTCGGTGGTGTATTAAAAGGATTAAAGATAAACTCCGAAAAATTAGAAACTTTTTTGTAAATATTCATAATTAAATTTTTAATTTCTGGGGACTTTTCGACCCGTTCGAATACGAACGAGTCGAAAAGTCTCCAGACGCAACTATTTTTATATTTTTTTGCCTTTCCCCGCGTTTCTTTATGCAGCGAGAGTGAAGCGAAATGACGTCACTAGCAGTGTTGGCCAATTAGAAACCAGCTTCAGTGTGTTCGCTGTAAAGCGCTTGTGGAGCGCTGCATAAAAAAACGCGGGGTTTCTATCTAAAACCAAATGTATATTTAAATTAGAGATGTAATTAAATACTACAATTCAATTCTATAAGCTTATTCAAAACCATTTAACACCCGATAAGCGTAAGATAATTTTATTACAGGTTTTTGCATAAAAGGCAAAATTCAATTATGACAAATTGTAATAATTGTTTTTACTTCTATTAGAACATTTTTGCTTACTTTTATTAATTATAAAGTAATTATTTGTATTACTTCTCTAAGTCTTCTATAGAGCCAAACCTTGGAGCTCACGTATAGAAATATAGTAGTATATGGACGAAAAGTAATTTGCTAATACAGAATTAGTGTAGCCACACCTAGAAAACCTTATTGATTACTAAACCTATTTCTTGACAAAATAAGGGCTTGTATATGGTTTATATAAACTACAATTTTATTTCTTTACAATATATTTTAAATTACTTTATAAAAAACAAAATTACACAACTATCGATTGCTGAAAAATTCCTTTTGCAAATAGTTTGCATTTGTCTTTAATTTATTAGATTAATTTAATAAAAAAAACAAACACGTAAAAAAATATAAATTTAATGCCTATAACACATTATATTTGCTACTCACCTTTCTATATATAAGAGTGCAGAAAGCTATCTTTAACTTCATTCCATATAATTCAGTTATAAACGCACTAATATTATATATACAGAAATAAATCGCAAGTAGAATAAAAAATCCCGCAAATGTAGCATACAACTTGTATTGATTCCGTTCCTCTCTGTTTTCAAAATAATTTATTATTAATCCTACGAAGTATGCATGGCCTGCAGCTAACGCTGTCATCTGCGGACGAACATAAATATCAGTTATTTGAATTATTTTAGAACATTCTTTATGTCGTTTAAATCAAAAAAATATAATTTCTAAAAATAAAAGATTATCTTTAAATAAGATAAACGAGTAAAGTAAACACTCTTTCTTAAACCGATTTCGAGTAATTTATATCAGCAGACAAATAATTAACAAAGATACTATACTTCATTTATTATTTTCAAACTTCTCAAAAAACTCCCGAAATGCATTTCGCCGTTACAGCCTCATCGGTGCGATGCATTATTTTCATAATTTGTCTGCTGATATAAAATTACTGAAAATAATAAAAGAAATAATGTTGGCTGAAGTATAGTACGTTTGTTAATTATTTGTCTGCTGATATAAATTACTCGAAATCGGTTTAAGAAAGTGTTTATTTTACTCGTTTATCTTATCTAAAGATAATCTTTTATTTTTAGAAATTATATTTTTTAGAACTTTCACCGATCCCATTGTTTTATATTTTTTATGATCAATCGTTTAAATCAGTTGTCGTAATACCTGAATGAGTACAAGTAGAATAATTATTAAGTATCTCCAACCAACAAAACGTAATAAAGCTTTCAGTATGCTGGAATTCTTCTTCTGCAATTCCTGGTTCCATTCTCTGAAATAAAATTGCAATGAACCTAAAAATTAAATACAATATTTCAATCAACGGATTATTCTAGAACTTTTGCACAACTATGAATCAATGTTATGCTCTTAACACAATTATGATAATTTTTTTTCTGAAAATACAGTAAAAGGTTATTCACGTAAGTAGTAGTGGTTTCAGTAACACTACTCACAAAATTAATTTCAGATGTCAATTAAATTAAAAATGCAAATAAAAATTTGTTGAATAGAATTATTTCAGATCACGAAATTAATTTTTTGAGTAATTTACTATCGAATAAATTAAAAATGCTAATAAAAATTTGTTGAATAGAATGATTTCAAATCACGAAATTAATTTTTTGAGTAATTTACTATCGAATAAATTAAAAATGCAAATAAAAATTTGTTGAATAAAATTATTTCAAATCACGAAATTAATTTTTTGAGTAATTTACTATCGAATAAATTAAAAATGCAAATAAAAATTTGTTGAATAAAATTATTTCAAATCACGAAATTAATTTTTTGAGTAATTTACTATCGAATAAATTAAAAATGCAAATAAAAATTTGTTGAATAAAATTATTTCAAATCACGAAATTAATTTTTTGAGTAATTTACTATCGAATAAATTAAAAATGCAAATAAAAATTTGTTGAATAAAATTATTTCAAATCACGAAATTAATTTTTTGAGTAATTTACTATCGAATAAATTAAAAATGCAAATAAAAATTTGTTGAATAAAATTATTTCAAATCACGAAATTAATTTTTTGAGTAATTTACTATCGAATAAATTAAAAATGCAAATAAAAATTTGTTGAATAAAATTATTTCAAATCACGAAATTAATTTTTTGAGTAATTTACTATCGAATAAATTAAAAATGCA